CGACTTTCAAGAAATTCGAGTTCTAGTGAGTTCGAGAACAGAGGTACCACTGTATATATATATATATATATACTGTATACACACACACATATAAATACACACACACAGACGCTCCTCTACTTATGAACGAGATACGCTCCGAACAGCCGTTCATAACTTGTAATGTTCGTAAGTAACTAGGATGCTGGGAGTACACACGTTACACTGCTGTTCGGCGGGAGTAGCACCCAGAAGTCGTACTAGGCGGAATTGGCGCACAGAAAAAAAACAAATATGTTGCAGACAGAAAACAGGAGCCCAAGGAACACAATTTGGACTTACAGTCCTCTTCTTTCGTATGTCTGAAATTTTGTAAGGTGAAACTTCGTTTTTTTTAAATCCAAGATATTCTCCACATTTTTCTTAAAAAAATCCACCCTCCTGAACAATAGAACAGAGAACAAACACTGCCCCCCCCCAAAAAAAAGGGAAGTTCAAGCGCTCTTAGAAAATAAAATAAACCAGGTGTTGCTTTTTCTCCTTTTTTAAGGCAAACACTCACACACACATATATATATATAGAAGCGAGAGTGAATCTTAGGGTCTGCTTTCCATTTTTCAGGGGGGTGAGGGTCATGCTGAAGAGCAAACAGACATGGCCACCCTTCTGGGCACGGCATCTGAACCAGTGACCTTCCGATCACTGACACAGAGGCCTAATTCACTGAACCACACACCACCCCACCCTTAACTCAGAAAATAACGGCAAACTGGATGTTTTCCATATAATACAGCTCTTTCTTATGCTAAGAGTAAAGCACCAAAACACTCATAAAACCAGGGCTTTGCACCTCGCTGACTGTGAACTCCGGCTCATTAGTTTTCCTCATCGTGTCGTCGATAAAGACGGTCATCAGCTCCCTCACTTGGTTCAAATCTTGGGCCCAATACTCCTGGAAAAAACGAAGAGAAAAATACCAAAAACGATGAAAGAAGTACTGCTAGCTGTCTGCTACATTTCCAAAAGGTGGAGATGCTGCTGTACATAAACCAACATTGGTTACGTTTCAGTGGTACCACAACAAGCCGTTACCAAAATACATGCAAAATAGTGAAAGATTTGGAGTATTTTGGGTCTAAGACTGATTTCATAAGGTACTAGACTTGAGACTCAGAGATAGAGATGTTATTGGAAAGCTACACTGGGTCCGAGCAGGTGGGACCTACTTCTTGCTGGTGTACAAGGAATCTCTGGAAGTCACACAGGGAGACGATGGAAGAGTCTGGCCGATCTGTGTTACTGAGGTAAACATCACATACACATGAGAATATAAACTGTTATATTCGCCACTGCTAAACAACACAGACCAATTATCTCAACACTACACCAATTCACAGTAATGTGCAAAAGTCTTATGCAGTCAAAAGAAATATTTAAAGCAATTTGTCTGGGTATTAAGTGCACCTTTGCTCAGAACAAAACAATTTACCATTAGAATGTAATTAAAAATAACACAATAACCACAGCCAGGAACAGACAAAATTCATGAGATTCAGAACATAAAAGTAGAACAAAATACATATTACATCTGCAGTTTCATTTTATGCTTAAGCAGTTCCTAGATGAGTTACAAATATCACATAAATTGGACTTAAAAACTGGATTAAAAACAGGAAAGCAAAAAGAGATGAAAATAGTCACCCCATGACAAAAGTGCAGGACTCCTTCAGCTTGTCGAGGACCTGGAGAAAACAGTAGAGATGTCAGTCTGCGAGACTGTGTCAGTCGGCGAGACTCTGTGTCAGTCTGCGAGATTGTGTGTCAGTCGGCGAGACTGTGTGTCAGTCGGCGAAACTCTGTGTCAGTCGCCAAGACTGTGTCAGTGGGTGAGACTGTGTCAGTCGGCGAAACTCTGTCAGTGGGTGAGACTGTGTGTCAGTCGGTGAGACTGTGTGTCAGTCGGCGAAACTGTGTCAGTCGCCGAGACTGTGTGTCAGTCGGCGAAACTCTGTGTCAGTCGGCGAAACTCTGTGTCAGTCGGCGAAACTCTGTGTCAGTCGCCAAGACTGTGTGTCAGTGGATGAGACTGTGTGTCAGTCGGCGAAACTCTGTGTCAGTCAGCCACTCAGCAGCGTGATTAACACACTTACACTCTTCTGGTTTTCAAACATGATGATGTTATAGAACTTGTGAAACTGCTCGAAGTCCAGCACATCTTTCCTGGCTCCAATCTCCTAGAAATGGACAACAAGGGCCACAGTGTCACTGACTGCACACAGCCCATCGGGGTTCATCTATGGCACATAATATCATTAAAAGATTCAGATAATGTTGTTTTTCAGGGGTTGGGATTGGCCCCTTAGTTCCAGTGAAAGGAACTCTTAATGCTGCAGCTGTTTTAGCTGCAAAGGGTGGGCCAACTCCATATTAAAGCCTATGCAATAAGAATGGAATGTCATTAAAGTTCATGTGTGTATAAAGGCAGTTGTCCTAATACTTTTAGCAATATAGTGTATGTTTCTGCCATCAAATTCAAATTATCATATATTTGTCATAAAACAATAACATTTCTTAGTTTCAACATTTGATATGTTGTCTTTGTTCTATTACAAATGAAAGATTGGTTTATATGATTTGCAAACCATTCTATTCTGTTTTTATTTGCATTTTACACAACATCCCAACTGTTTTGGAAATGGGGTTATAGACGAGTCATCATCAGTCTTGACACACATTTCACAAACATCACAGATAACTGACACACAAAACAGGAGCCGGGGAGGTGACCAGTACCGCAAATTTGTCCTTCAGGTAGCGTGCATGAGGGATCTTGAAACTCATCTGAGGCAGCAAACACTTCAGCTCCTTTATGGAAACGCTGAAGTGGGTGGGGCGAATGGATACATCAGTATGAGGGGGGTGAGAAAGGAATTTCTTTGGTGCAAATAGCATCAAATAACAGAGTAAACTGTGGAATGGTGTTATTATACATCAGAATAGTGATGTTTCATTCATCCCTGTGAAGAAATTCTCTTTCATCTATTATTTCTTGCTGTTTATGAGACACATATACAGATGAAAGTAAGGTTGCATGTCACAGGGCAGGGTTACCAAGTGTGTGCAGTGCTCTGGCAGCTGGGGGTTAAGGGCCTTGCTCAGGTGCCCAATGGCAACATCAACCTGACAACACCAGGCTTTGAACTAATGACCTTCTGATCACAAGCACAGCCTCCTATCCTGCTGAGCTACACACCACCCCCAGCTAGGCAGGAATAATGACGAATGAATACTGGAGACGGAAGAGCGGGATGAATAAGTTCATGGTACCTGTTCTTCTTGGTCTGATCAATAGAGTACATCTGCTTCCTCAGCCAACTGAAAAAAGAGAGAGAGTCAAACTCAGAGTGAGTACATGTACCTGTGTGTCTGCCTGTCTGTGAAGGTGCAGGCGTGTGTGTGTGTGTGTCTGTGTGTGTGTGTGCACGTATAAGTGATACCTTTCAATGATATCGGGTGTCGGGGCAGCTAAAGTTTCTTGCTGAAGCAGTTCCAGCCCTGTCAGCCATTTCTCCGCATCTTCCTGTGTCGGAGCTTTAAGGAAACAATGACATTAAACACATGCTAAAAAGCAAGCCTCAGGAATACAAACACGTTTGCAATGGAATCGAAACACCATTTACATACAGAATTGCGCATTCTCAAAAAAAATAAATGCACGCAAGCCACATGTGCTGACTCACCGCTGAGGCTGAGCGTGTTGAGGACGAACTGGCTTCCATAAAAGATAGTGAAGCAGGTCTCCTCCGGAGGCTCTTTTTCTTTAGAACGTTCGAAGTCTTTGCACTTCCTGCCTGGCCGGACTTCCCGGATCTCATGCAGGTCCACTGAGGAACAGAGCATATGCTCAGCAGAACTCAAGTCAGGTCCCCAAGTCTCACTCTGCAGCACACGCAACCATCCCGTGCAAGGAGAATAACACAAGAACATGTGCGCACGCACAAACGCACGCCTCACTAAAGGACACAGAAATTCAGGCTGGGGGGAAAATAATGAGAAGAAATCAAGAGAAAGTGGAGACACAACGACACCTGCAAACGTAAATGTTCAATGGACACATTCAAATGCTTAATTTAGCAGCTAAGTTACCAAGAGCATCAATCGGTTGATTTATTCTTCAGTTACAAGGAGGAATTAGCAAATGCTATAATATGTGTAAATGTATGGTACATACACAGGGGATGGACAATGAAACTCAAACAGCTAGTTTTAGACCACAATATTTTATTAGTATGGTGTAGGGCCTCCTTTTGCGGCCAGTACAGCATCCGTTTGTCTTGGGAATGACAGGTACCAGTCCTGCACAGTAGCCAGAGGGATTTTGAGTCAGTTCTCTAGCAGACCAGTGGCCAGGTCACTATGTGATGCTGATGGAGGAAAATGTTTCCTGACTCGCTCCTCCAAAACACCCCAAAGTGACTCAATAATATTCAGATCTGGTGACTGTGCAGATCATGGCAGATGTTCTGCTTCACCTTCATGTTCATCAAAACACACTGTCACCAGTCTTGCTGTTTGTATTGGTGCATCATCATTCTGATACACAGCACCACCTTCAGGGTACAGTGTTTGAACCATTGGGTGAACATGGTCTTCCATAATGGTTCAGTAATCCTTGGCAGTGATGTGCCCGTCTAGAACAAGTAGTAGGGAGTATCATGATATTTCAGCCCAAACCATCACTGATCCACCCCTGTTCTGCACTCTGGGTACGCAACAGTCCAGGTGGTGAGCCTCTTTGGGGCTTCTCCAAATCATGACTCCAAACCGGATGTGGGAAAGACTGACATCTGCTCTGCTAGTTCAACTTTCACACACTGCTCTTACTGACGGAATGTGCAATCAGTGAGGGTTGGCCCTCAGGCCGCACATATATAGGCATGAAACCTCAGACACTATTGGCCAGTGTTTCAGTTTCATAGTCCAACCCCTGTATGTGAGTATATGTGTCATTTCTCAATTTAAGGTTGTGCATCTGTGAATAATATATTTTTTGCAAACTGCAGCCTGGCTCTTCTCTGCTTCTCATTAATGAAGGGCTTCTTCCTTGCTTTTGGAACTCCAGTCCTGCTTCTAGGAGCATGATACAAACTGTCCTAGCAGTGCACTTCACACCTGCACTTAATGCTTCCCATTCCTTTTGAAGGTCACTTGATCCTACGATTCATGACAAACTGTCGCATAAGTTAACGGTCATCTCTGGCATTAGAAAGTTGCTTTCGCTCTCTAACCAGGCTGGTTTTTGGTCATTCCCAGTGTCTCCTGCTTCACTTTGGTCTTGTTTACTGCTGTCTTAGAAACTATGAGCCTAGAAGTGTAGCCTTCTGCCAGCAGGACCATGATTAAACCAGGATTTAAAAATGCCAGCAGGACCATGATTAAACCAGGATTTAAAAATGCCAGCAGGACCAGGATTAAACCAGGATTTAAAAATGCATTTTTTTTAATTATGGAGTGGTCTCTTACTTTTTTCCAGAGCTGTATATATAAATACACACACAAACACGCACACACACACACACACACACATATACAGTCAGACACAGACACACATACCTGTACTTCTTGTTCTTGTGTATAACATGTTTATATATATACGCTTGTGAGAAGACATTCGTGAACCCTAGATCACAATTCAGATTTCTGTATGAAAAGCTCCTAAAATGTCATCTAATCTTCACCTAAGCCATGGCGCTGTCTTAATTAATGAGCAACAAACACAGCACTTTACAGATTGTTATGGCTGGAGAAAGCAGAACACTGCATAACAACATCAAAACCTCATGCTCTTTGTGAAGCCTGGTAGAGCTTGGTATCATGGTGCACTGCTGCTTCACTGCCTCAGGTTCTGGAAGTCCTGCAATCATTGAAGGACCAACAGATTCCAAGGAAATCCCACAGCAGAATGTCAGGGCGTCTTTGTAGGAAGCTGGGTCTCACATGTGAAGATGACCCAAACCCTGGGCTGGTCAATCCTATAGGCGACACAGGTGGCCGCACCGGGTGCCAACTTTTGAGGGGGGTGCCGACTTGCCAGCCAATTGCACTTTGTTTCAGACAGCGGGCACCCGCAGTGGCGCCCCCCCTGGGGCGCCACGTCAGGTAGAACCAGTACTGCCCAATCCACAGAAACAAATGATCAGAACAGTGAAGATATTTTGTATCTTGGAACAGACATGTCCGAGTCCTGCAGTGTTCAAACGTAATCTGAAACCGGATGTACAAGCAGAAACATCCCAAAAATACACACGAAATGAAACAGGATTATAAAAACCTGCCCTAAGCCCTGTTCAGGTCCGATCAGCAGCTAGAGAAAGCGCTCAATGGAGGTCACTGCCAATAAAGGAGGTTCCTGTAGTTAATAAATATGAGGGTTTCACATACTTTTTTCCCCCATCAAGGTATTTGATTGTTTAAACCACCCGAGGGCCAAATTCCATCAGCCACAAAGCCAAGGTCTACTGCATCCGAAAAACACCAACATGCAGGGCAATTCAGCAAGCAATGGGCTTAGGGCCATGATCGTGCAGTCTAGATTCAAACTTTGTTCCATAATAGATGCTTTGTGGTCCCTGTAGGGAAATTCTTTTTTTACACCCTCCTCAACTAGGTCTTTGTAGAGTAAGCTGTCTATGAAGGGCAACCACCTGAGAGCTGGGGGTTAAGGGCTTTGCTCAAAGACCCACAGCGGTGCTGAGGCTGGGTTTGAACCAGTAACCTTGTGATTACAGGAACACAGTCGTAGCCCACTGAGCCACACACTGCCCCCAATAAACATATGACATTGTTAACAATCCAATAAGACTGTCTCGATGACATATATGAATATCAAATCATATTTAAGGAGTTATGTATTGCATATATATTCAAGTCAGCTGTTCCACACGGATGTACGCAGCCATTAAAAATCACCATAAAGCTTAGGACCTCTTACAGAGAAAAATAAACAAAGTTACCATTTTTTATTCTCCTCTTCTCTCCTCATGTAATTCTGTTTTCTCTGTTCTTCCTATATCCCCTGTCTTCCTGACCTGTCTACCCCCTATAATGTAATGTTTATATATGTATGGTCAGGTTGATGGCCAGTTTTTTCACTGATACTTGTGACTAGTGACATGGTATATTGCAACAGCAATAAAGGGTTTTCATCAATCAATCAATCATTATAGAGGAGTCAGACTGCAATTTTAGTCACATTTCTCTGGCACAGAACCTTGTTTATGGGCTTATTTGAAAGTCAAAATCAGCAATTAACTTTTCATTAACTGTTTCCATATTGTTATTGAATACAAAAATCTGTAGGACAAATTTTATGGTATTTGCGCATTTGTTATTACAGGGTTATAGCCACTAATCAGGGAAGGAATGAAAACTTTGAACAGTTTAACAGATATGCGATAGGTAAATGGGAATTTAATCATGTGTTGTGATAATTAATGTTTTTGGCTTTGGGTATTTTATAAGAGCGCAGGTGAAACCAGAGCAAATATAGTGCAATTTTTTTGCTGTGGTGACTCAGCAGACAACGCTATGGGTTCTCACCTCCATGTCTGTGGGTTGGAATCCTGCCTTGTGCTCTGTGTGTGGCATTTCTGCAGGACCGGTCCAGCCTAGGAGGCCACCTAGGCTGCCAGCTTTGGGGGGGACAGACTTGCCAGCCAGGTTCAATTTGCCTTGGGGGGGGCAGGCAGTGCTGCTTGCCTAGGACACCTCATCAGAGAGTATCAGTTCTCACTGTGGTGTGTGGCTTTAACACCACGTCCAAGAACATGCAGTTAGGGCAATGTTTATCAACCGGGTCCATGGGGACACCCAGACCGTCCACATTTCTGCTCCCTCCTAGCTCCCTGCCAGACCGTCCACATTTTTGCTCCCTCCTAGCTCCCTGCCAGACCGTCCACATTTCTGCTCCCTCCTAGCTCCCTGCCAGACCGTCCACATTTTTGCTCCCTCCTAGCTCCCTGCCAGACCGTCCACATTTTTGCTCCCTCCTAGCTCCCTNCACATTTTTGCTCCCTCCTAGCTCCCTGCCAGACCGTCCACATTTTTGCTCCCTCCTAGCTCCCTGCCAGACCGTCCACATTTTTGCTCCCTCCTAACTCCCTGCCAGACAGTCCACATTTTTGCTCCCTCCAAGCTCCCTGCCAGACACTCCACATTACTGCTCCTTTCTAGTCCCCAGGGACTGTATTGGGAAACACTGAGTTAGATAAACTGGCTTATCCTTCCTCAACAAGCTCAATTCCTGTTCAAACTGCTGTCATTCATTTGTATGGCAGGCTAGTATATCCAAAACAATTGACATACGATGATGCATTTTTACATCCCAACCTCATACTACCTAGCATAGGCCCCAGGCCCTCCAGGGACCCTGACCAGGATAAATGGGTCTAAGATGGATGGAGGATTCTGCTTTTGTTCCCACAGTCAGAAGGAATAAGAAGTGGCATCCTGGGGTGGGGATTGCACTTGTTCTTTTGCAAATGTTAATTGTCGTTTGAGAAATGCCCCAAAGCAATTGATAAAAACTGCAAATGCAGCAAAGAATGTATTAGAATAAAGTTAATATTAGTGCAAGTATTTATTGGTAAACCTGGCTAAAAAATGTGGTATTTAGCAGGGAATTGTGTCCATGGCAAGACTTGTCTGTGTCCGTGGCAAAATGTTTTGACTGAGTAAAAGAAAAACTATTTAAACTACATTCTTAAATACCGTGCTCAAGGTAAAACTGCGATTTGATAAAAAAATTTACATCAGAATTCACCGTGATATTGACCCCTGTTATTACAGTTTGTATTGACTGCTTTGGAGCATTTCTCAAATGACAATTAACATTTGCAAAAGAACAAGTGCAATCCCCACACCATGATGATATTCTGCACAGCGGAATATAATTTCTCATTGCTTCATGGAAATTTCCAAATGTTTTAGTACGTATAAGCAGATTGTCATCATTTGACACAATTTTCAGTTTTTAGCCTTGTTAGTCAAAACAGATCATGTAGTTTCCCATTGTAATACACCCAAAACTATATATGTATGCGATCATCCTGTTAGCCACCTCATGCAAAACAGCTAGCCAAACTATCAAAATAATATAAAGATACATTCTATAAACTGCAGCGATATGGCATTGTTGTGTTTTTGTTTCACACAGAACATGCTTTTGTCTTCATTTTGTTGTTCTTGTAGTGCTGTTTTGCTGGGTTTTTGTGTTATACAGTGCAGTGTGATTTTTTGTTTGCTTTTGTACCATCTTGAGAAGTTACATGTGCATGCAGTGCTTTCTCTTGCCAGTGAAGTTTACATACTGTAATGCAGAGTCTTGCAATGTTGAAAATGCTGTCTTTGACATGAATAAGTATCAGTTTGCTAAAAAAAAAAATGATCGGTCAGTAATAAAGTCAGTGAGAAAATGGGAACTGACTATCATTCAGAATTATGGAGCTGAGCAGCATACTTACATTAACATACTGACAATTTACTAAACATTTTCGCTCTCATGGTTAAAATAATACTAATTGTACTTTTCATTTTGGTGGCACTAACTAATTAATTTGAGGAATTATTAGCTTTTGAGACACAAGTTAATTGTTTTGGGTAAGTGACAGGTGTTTGCAGCGAAACCATACTGTTGTGCTATATGCATGAACTGTTTTGATAAATGCCCTCATAGTCTTGAGAAAATTGTAAGCCACAAATCTACACTGTCTCAAGTCAAATCAAGTCAAGTGGGGATTTATTGTCACACGCACCCTATTCAGTTCACTGCATACCGTGACAGGAAATAACGTTCCCCGAACTGCGGTGCTACATATAGCCTGATACATAAGCTTCAAGGATGGACAGGACCCGTGTGCACTTGTATAATAGGCTAAACAACGTGCAATAAACAATGATGGAGGGTATATAATGCAATGTTAGGAACAGCAGACTGGTATGTATGAGTAATAATAAATAAATATCAAGGATAAATATTGAATGCTTGTAACAGTGTAGTAATGGTGCAAATGGCAACATACCAAAATTGGAAGATATCAGTAGTGATGAGTTACATACGTGTTAAAGTTAATGTACTGCAATTTGCAAGGATCGCTAATAAAACGTAATCCTATATAGAGGCAATTTTGGCTAAATGGAGCCTATATTCCAAAAGGTTTATTTTAAAGGGAAAAAATGAGAACTTGTTTACAAAACCAAACAATGAATTTATATCAGCAAATACTTAAAAGCCAATGACTAGATCATTATTACAGTCCTGCAAGTAAACTCAGCTGAGTACCTGAATCTACTGATTGGCCAGGTTACACCTCCATCCATCATCAATGTTGGCATGAGCATATTCCAGGACAAGAATGCCAAGATTCAATGGGTTCAAATTGTCAAAGACTGGTTCAGGGAGCATGAGGAATCATTTTCACGCATGACTTGGTCACCACAGAGTTGTGACCTTAACCTCATTGAAGGTCTCTGGGATGTGATGAAGGAGGCTTTATGGAGGTTCAACTCATTTGTCAATACAGGATCTTGGTAAGAAATGAATGCAAATCTGTATGAAAATAAAGGGTGAGATGTTGCGTAAGCCTGTGGAAACAATGTCATGACAAATATGTGCCATAATCAAAGCTAAAGGCGGTCCAACGAAAAATTCAAATGGCGACTTTTTTTTTGGACGGGCAGCGTAGCTTATGCCGGTTACAGTCAGTCATAATCGGTGGTTTAGGGAACATTTATGGGTTCCCTGTAAATAACACCAGCACTTTAGAGTTCATAGTTGATAAAAGCAAGTCTTTCAACTGTTATACCGAACTCAAAAATGTTGCTGGAAACACAAATCCAACGTGCTAACTCATTTAAGAAGACATCATCGGAGTGTGTGTACGACCTGACCAAGGCAGAAACGACCTCTGCACGTTAGTCTCCCTGAGGCATTTTAGGCACTTTGGTCAGTAAATTCAGACTCGGCAAAAATAATATTTAAGGTTATATATATATATTAATAACTATAGATATGTGATCATACTTTGTTACAGAGAACACCGGATTCAGACAGGATTTAGTTCATTATTGATGCTATTATTTTACAGTTTTCATTTTTAAATTTGTTATACATATTTTTATTTATACGTAGGTTTCGTTATTCAGACACGTAGTCAAACGCATCACCTTTGGTTTACAACTGTTCTTAATTATGTTTTCAGTTTTAATAATAAATAATGTAAAAAATAAATTCTGTTTTCCCTGCTGTAACGGAATCGCACCAAACCGTGAACCCAAAACCGAAGTATGCACTGAACCGTGAACTTTGTGTAGCGTTGCACCCCTAAATACACCAGAAATTAAAATAAACAAAATATTTTAAACAAACCAGCAACACTTTTACAATTTATAGAAATCATTACACAAATCACTAAAAATAGTTTATCTCAGATTGTGGACACTGCGGTTTTGAGAGGTAACTTAATGATCATTCTTATTTGGAATTATATATCTCAAATTTCACCGTATTCCAACCGATATGTCCTTCCTACTAGGCCGCATCTTTCTAGTTAAATTTGTAAGGTTGACTTCAAATCTATTTGTCTCCTGTAGTTTTGCATCTCTGTCTCCTTATATCTGTGCACCACACCTATTTACATTCTGTGGGAGTAAATAAGAACCAGTTTTTAAAGCGATTTACTTAAAATTGTCATCACAGCATGCTGTTATACTGCAGCTGTGTTTTTATAGAGTTATACCTAACTTTGTTTGCAAATGTTGATTATGAGCTTCAGGCCTACAAACGTTTAAGTAGGCCTAGCATGCTTGTTGTCTATCAGATAGTTGTCTGCAGAGGTATGTCTTATTTTAATGAAGTACCATAAATTGTGCTTAAAAACAAAGCCAGCTGTAACACATTCATTAGTACTGCACATGCATTCATGGCCTTCTACAAAGACTTTCTATAGTTTTCTATAGTATTTTGAAAACATTACAATACCTCATCCGTCAATAATGGATTACTGTACTACAGATACACAACTATGCGATGCCCAGGCCTAAAGACAAATTCCCCATAAAGACAAATCTTAGAAAGGCCAATTAATAAAATGTCTGCCAAATAATTTATGAAAAACCTGCAAAAGGAATCATATCAAATCATGATGGTGTACACGAACTTGATAAAAATAATCTCAGGATCAGTCAACAACTTCTCACTAGAAACTTGTGCAACAACATGTATCCGACAGGCCAAATTAGATAAGAAACCTTCTCAGTTTCCCCAGAAACAAAACAACGACTCTAAAACGAATGACAAACACATTTCTGCACATGCAAACAACTCCACCTTATACACCACCGACACCATGTGTTAAAAGTGTCACACGTTCAGGAACACTAAAGCGGGGCTGTACATGAAAGACTGCATCGGGCTCTTTTTGAAAAATCTGTCTGTGTGGGCTACAGAGAAAGAGGCCCATACAGGACTCTCACTCTTGACTCAACCCAACACAGATAACCAGCATTCTCTTCACAGGAAAAAATGTAGGGCATACACACATACTGATACACATCAACACGCACCAAACCGACCTCTTCCAAAACCATTACAAGAAAGCCACAGAAAGAGATGTAAACATAAAACTTCCTTCGCTTGATGAAATAAAACAAATATGGATTAATAATGGTTAATTGGCTTGGCGGTTAATGGGCGGCAGCTTTCGTTCAAGGCATGGGCAGCCGTGTAGACTAGGGAACTATGGAAAGGTCAGTTAGCATATAAGCCATCAGGCTTTCAAGAGAAATGGCGAAGATTTAAATCGTACACTTATTGTAGCTACAAAGAAAGCAAGGAGCATTTTGGAGTTTTGTAAGACGACACTGGGTGATTCTGTGCAAGAAATGACTGGTCTTGCACATTACCATAAGTCTTGTGTAAAGTGTGTGCATCTAATGTATATACACAAGTTTTAATATGATGACTTGTTGCATTTTTGGCAAGTTTTAAGCAAGATGTCGGACATTATAAAGCTAACGGTGGCCTTGTAGAGTGCCAGTGCAGGCCAGCGTGAGGCAGTGCACCGCACCCGGTTTTCGGTCATGCCACTTACAGACACCGTCTGTTTTGTCTGCAGTCCGAATCCAGGCCACCTGCCTGGTCTCCATGATAACCTGCACTGTCAGACGCTCCACCTTCTGGCGGTAAATCGTCATCACAATGCCCATCTCCAGGTCCCGCTTGATGAGGCTCTTCTTGTACTCGGTCAGCTCCCCCATTTGGCCATACCCTGCCATCTCTACTCCTGAAAGTAATCAAACGAAAGCTCTGAGTGAACCAGTGAGGCACTGATCAGAAAGAACGACAAAGTTACTGACAAACTAAACAGAACTGTATACTAGGACCTTGTATACACCCTGAGGGGGACTGCCTGTTAGCACTAGTGTTTAGTATTTGCACGTAAAGCCCCAAATTTCCCTTACAGGAATAAAGCATGAGTGATTAGAGCACATGCGCCACTCACAGAAAGATCCGCTTTGTCTGTGCATCTCGTCCCAGTTACCAGTTCGTCTCAAGCTCCATGCAAACCTTTATTTACATTGCAAATGAATAGCAGCAGGTGGCTTTTCTTCTGGTGAGTCCTTCGACACTAGTGAAGCATTAACTCAGAAATATTTCAATATTCTCACTGCTGGAACCTTTGGTCTCGACCCTGCTCTCACAGCACTGTAATGTTTTAATCAGTCGCAATTCCCTACGGCAGGAACAATGAAACAGAGCCCGTAGCCATACTGCCCAACTCACCCTGTGATGACCACAATTTAGTCACATCATCAAACTATAACATATTATAGTACTTTAACTTGAATTCGGCGGTAGAAAAATGCACCTTTCTCAAAATGTTTTCTTTAACTACAGGCTAAATAACATGTAATAACCTATAAGATGAATAACAAATTAATGTTGGACTTGAGATCTAGGGTTGTACGTTAAAATTCATTTTGTGACTGAGTTAAAGTTCCAAGCTTTGTAGAGATAAAGGGTGAAACCGCAAACTCTGAGAAGAAACAACAACTAATATGATAACTCCACGCGTGCTACACCATACTATTACCCGTTTAATAACGGTCCTCACAACCGGAAAAAATGGTAGGCTAGTTTCGTTCAGTTTTAGCACACATTTTTTTCCAGATCCGAAATCAAGAAAGATATTAGATAAACAAAAGCACATTCCTTAATGGCTAATTATTAATTTATTAAAAAATAAATGAGAATTTAAAAGCGAGAACAACACCCAACACCCCCATCCCCGAAATGCACACGCACATTTTGCAAAAATGCACGCAACCTTTGAAAGATTACGAAAAAGAACAATAAAGCTTTAAAACTCACCTTAAATTTGAAAAAAACCTAGATGTACAACTTATACAAATATTTCCCAAGCAAAGAAATTCATGTTTCGATATAAAATGAAAAAAAAAATTGGTTTATTAACGAACTTTGCCCTGCCACAGAATGGTCAGTTCCTCTATCCGTTTATAGAAGGAAGTAAACTTGCCCAGTAGTAGGATAGGAATAGCTGTAATAAAGAAATACGGAAGTCTTCAATAGTTAACTATGCAAAGTCCTGAAACGTTACGGACACCTCTTCCCCATCCCTTGCTCAAGAGATACATTAATTACCAACTCAAGTGAGCAACTGAACTAGTCAAAAAAGTACTGTCACCAGGGGTTTTCTGTTCATAACGACCCCCTGGTCTCAAGTGACACAGAAATTGAAAGCACCTGCGCAACGAACGGAAGAGCAAGCCTATTATTCTGAGGGTGCTTGTGAACAATGCGACACTCCGCGCGATAGTGAACCTCACTCTCTAATAGTGAACCTCACTCCGAAAACTCGCGCGCTGTCTCGGTCAACATTTCAGATTTAACAAAATTACACCTCGGTGACGATCTGACCCAAGGCGACACAGTACGATAAAAACGTTTCTTACAGGTATGCGTATAAATGTTAAAATAAATAAATACGATAAAACACAATAGTAAACAGATGTAATTCTACAAAACAATTAACAGGATTAAACTGAAACAAAAACAGAAGCAGTTTTGGGGGTCAGATCCTATGAAAAGCCCCATGGCGCTAGGGGAAGTCGAGCGTCATAAGCAGGGTCGGTTCTAGAGCATTTTAACTGGGGGACCAGACTGGGGCCAGTTTTTCTGTTGGGTGGGGGCATATGCATTTGACCTTAATATCCTCCACTAGATTACTCTAGATTGCCAACATTAAGAAGCAAAAGACAGTCATGAAAACTGATAGCTTATTCATGCAATGCTTTGCAGTGACATTTTACAGTTTTTATAAATAACTGATTGAGCTCACTCTGATTTCTTGTTCAGACACACTTGGTTCACTTTTCACCAACTGAAGTGACTTGACCAGCCAGGGGTCCCGCATTAAGAGTCCGTCAAGAAAATGTGTTTATGTTTTGCCTGTTCACAGTGCATCAAATTTTTGTCCACATATATAAATGGAAATAGTAGGGGGGGGGGGGCACTGCCTCCCCTCCAGAACCACCCCTGGTCGTAGGGAGGGTAAGTTTTACCTTCACCCTCTCTTCTGCCACCACTTTCGGCATGTTTAGGGATAGATCTACCACAGATTCAGCCTCAAATTATATTATAATGAGCTCATTCAGAGAGCACCAAGCCTCAGGCCACTGCAGCTCCGAAGATGGCAGAGTCTGTTGAGGAGAGTAAATTCCTCCAGTTTATTGTTGTTGTACCACCAAGGTATCTGCAGGCATTCACCATCTCCACAAAATCCCCTCATAGTGATAGGGGATGGGGCCTTACCAGAACAATGGACGTCAACCGCCATTGCAATACCACAAAAAACATAAACAATCTATTAAAAGCCTTTAAAAACAATGGTTTCAGTAAAGAAGCCATAAACACAAAAAGTTTCTTTTTTTAGTGGCTACCCATTTCATACAGGAAAACAAGTTCTACATGGCGGTCAAACCAACAATTTGCATATCTAACATCACCTTCCTGTCCATTTGCATGACATCAGTGGGGGAGAATGAGGCGCCTGTGTGGAGATGATGCGAATCGTTTCGTTGCCCATAGCAGCCCTTCAGAAAGGGTGCTTGGAAACTCAGCAAGCAGGTCGCGGTGATGCAGAAAACACAAATAGCAGCTGCAGAGTTCTACATTAGTGACTGTATGTCTCCAAATTATCGTCTAATTGCAAAGACGTTTATCTCAGGTAGCCTGTGAGGGAATGTATGGTGAGCTTGCCATATCATCCATGTGATCGGTTACAAGCAGCGATTTCATAGGCAGATCTCTTGTTATTATGCATATGGTTGATAGGCCAGTAAAGCCCACTTGACTTGGTAAATGGCCTAATTTAAGTAGTTTCACACTAAATGAGCAGATGCAGCTTACATCAACATTTTGACAATGTTAAAGCCCAAGGTGTCATGAGTCACCAGGAGTTTTCTGATGCCTGCATCTAAGTGTGGTTTGGCCTCAGTAGTGACTGTTTGTTATATGCTTGACCTAGTTTCACAGCAAGCCAATGAGAGGACTGCTCTTGCTCCCATCGCAGTCTTAAACCTGTGCTCGCATCCCTGACTTGCGAGCGTACCTGCCTGGTACGTGTTAACGGAGTGCTCTAATAAGGGTGCAAAAAAGTACGGGGAGGAAAGGAATCACCGGCTGTATGTGTACCTGGTTCTGGTACTGAAGGTCAGCGCTTGCGCTCTTGTGTTTTTAGCCTCGCTACACCAAACCACAACAAACAGAGGTGAAACAGACACATGCAAGAACCTGCATGGTGTGATCAGCACTCTGACGTGAGAAACGCTCAGGATCGCAACCAGATTGAGCCTGACACACTCTGCGGTGTTCCCACAATCACCGGGGCACAAGAACCGACTATTGATGGCTGATGGATTATTGGTGGGCTGGATCTATAAGGCCACACGAGCTGTGACAGGTAAGTCCAGGTCGTCTTTGGAAAAACTGTGCCAGAGAGCTAATGTCCAGAAGGTTTTCGATCCTACCTGGCTTCAGATGAGCCACAGCCATACCAGGATCAGGTGCAGCTCATCAGAAACCAGGTAGAATTAAAAATCATAAAATTTAATTATTAGCTCTCCAGGACCAGAGTTGGAGACCCCTGCTCTAGTCTGTGCCCTCACCACTTTGAGTTCCTCTCCAAACTCTTTTCCTTTCCCTCTTCCAACTCTCTGTAATTCTCTCTCAGGGTTCCTCCACTTCTTCTGGCACTCTCAGGCCTTGGCTCTTGAGAGTCTTTTCTGGCATCTACACCATAGCCTGGGCTTCTGGATCAGCATTCCCCTGGGTCCGAAAGACCCTTTGTGAGGGGATACCGTGAGCAGAATAAAGGTCCTTCTCCTTCACTTGGACTCAATGGTGCTTCTGGACTGCCGTGCTGACATTCAGAGCTTCATTCCAGCTCTGACTCAAACCTGGAACCTCTGCAGTCACCATTAACTGCTTCAAATCCACATTTCCTTCACCCCTATGCCAAATGGCCTCAAGCGTTTGCCCGAGGAGAGCCTTTAAAGGCCTCAGGCAACATAACGTGACAATAAAGCAACAGATAAAACACAAATCATCTTAACTGGCTTCAGCTCCCAAAGCTAAGTGTGCACTAATAGCATCATGCCAATAGAAACAATCGTAATTTAAAAAGTGAACAGTAATTTTAAAAGTGAACAGTAATTTTAAAAGTGAACAGTAATTTTAAAAGTGAACAGTAATTTAAAAAGTAAACACATTTATAAATGTCATTAACAATTTTTTCAACTTAACCCAATGTGCATTTATGAACACAGAAACCATTCTCCTGTTGCTTTTTGAAGATGGTTCTTTTTAAATCTCAGACATTGTACCCAAGAACATACAACATGTATCCCTCTGACATGGTCAGGGACCAATGGCTTGGCATTGTTATTATAACCAGTTGATTATACAGCTGCTACTCTATCATCCTTATTGTTTGAGGTGTCATGTTTTGTTGAAGGCGACACCTGGAACAGCCTTGTGAGGGATACTGTCTCCACACCCAACCCTGATCCAGCAAACCTTACAAAGCCGCAATCAAAATCCTATCAAAATCAATATGATAAATGCCAACCTCTCCTGCCTACCATCCAATATGGTGTCCAAGAGGTCTCATAGATCAGACCCTGGAGACCACACCTGGATGATTGGCTGTAGGCTCAACCATACTCTGACCCCTACCCAAGCTCTGCATAGTGAAGGAGAATCATAATTAGACAAAATGTTCATACGTGTGTGCCACCAAGGATGTTAAATAGGTCAACATTTGCCCATTAAACAAGCCAATTGTTTTCAGGGTGATATCTAGTTCTTCATCATTCCCTTTTCCATCAACATATAGCTGACTGCAACATATAGCCCCCCCCCCCCCCCCATGCCAGTCCAAACATCTCCCATGCCAGTGTCTTCCTCTTGCAGGAAGATAAAGACCAGTGAGCATAACTCTCCACGGTTATCAGAGTTAGCAGTGAGGATAACACCAAGTCAGATGAGGAGTACCAGAAAACACCTTGCTGTTAGCAAGTTCACGGTTAGCGGTGAGTGGTTTACAGCTACCCACACATCAACCTCCATTTTAGCATTAAAGGTTAATGCAGAAATTTGGATAACAAAGCTGACCAGGGGCCATCTGAAATGTAAATATCATGCCAAAAGGAAACAGAAGCTCAACACGTTGACTGACAGGGAGACGGCAAGGAGCTGCAGAAACAACACATGACACACCGTAACTATGGCTGCTGGTGCTGCTCTACATGCCATTTTCATCTACTACGCTCGTCCATTAAGGTGTCTATGCATGTTCTGACCCCATCATGCCCTCTACCTTCCTTCCCACATGTCCGGATGGTGTCTGGGGTGGGCACCATCTGTGCTGGAGTCCTGGTTCAGTCCCAGGGAGGGGTGGCATTATGGATGTGACTTATGAACTGTACCAGCTTGGGTCCAGCCTTCAATCTGCCACCATATACAGGCTGGTGTGGAGAACTGACTCATTGATAGACTTGACCTTGGCTACAATTTACACCTTCAGCAAGCAAACCCACTCTTTCTTATCCAATAATGTTAGCATATCCGGGGGTGGGGTTTGGCTAGCCAGTTGACTTTGGACCTCCAGTGGTTTTTCTTCTGCACCACCTAACTCAACCAAGCTCTGCCTAAACTTACAAATCCCAGCAAATCAGATCTCGAAAATGGACATT